TTGGCTGATCTAAGTCAGGGCATGGCTAATTCACAGATCAAACCCTGAAACAACCTCTGGGCTGATCTAAGTCAGGGCATGGCTAATTCACAGATCAAACCCTAAAACAACCCCTGGGCTGATCTAAGTCAGGGCACTGCTTACTCACAGATTGAACCCTAAAACAACCCCTGGGCTGATCTAAGTCAGGGCACTGCTTACTCACAGATTGAACCCTGAAACACCCTCTGGGCGGATCTAAGTCAGGGCATGGCTAACTCACAGATTGAACCCTAAAACAACCCCTGGGCTAATCTAAGTCAGTGCACTGCTGACTCACAGATTGACAGGCTAACATGGAAATATGAAAGAAATTTTCTTGATGGAATTTGTGTCATTTCTTTTGTATTTTCATGTTACCCTTGCACTCAAGTCAATTTAAGATGGGTCCATAACATGATCACTGTCATGGCTAAGAATGATATTACTCACTTGAACTGTTTAATATTAATGTATTCCGCTTCTCTTTCCCTCAGGCTTATCTTATAAAACTCCTCCCTTGTTTCATCTTTGTTAGGTAACTTTCGTTGGAGCAATGGAGAGACATTTGCAGGAGTACTGTCTGTGACGTTAAGCTTAGTTAAACTACTAGTTGATGGTGATGGGTGGATGATTGAATCATTTGGGGTGAAGCCCGGCATGCCAAAAATATCCAGTGAGGTGTCATCTGAGGCAAATAAATCTGATGCTGCAATAGAATATATTAAATGAATATTCAGCAATATTAAATGAATAAGGAAACTTATTAAACACAGCGTAAATAAATTTTTTAAATGTACTGATGTTTTGAATGTTACATTATAGTTCTTCGGGGGAGTGAAAAGGATCTTTTTTAAGTCCAAAACACCAGTACGTCCAGAGCTTAAAATAACGGCTGATCAGTCGCCAGTCATGATCACAGAACAAATAAGTCTTAGCTTAGTCGTACATCATTTTTGGCTAACTGTTACTGGACAAAATGACTGACAAGGCAAAGATTTGACGGGACAAGTCCCAGTTCCGGATGGACATTTCCCGACATCCGGCCATTATCTTAAGCACTGCAGTACATCAAACGTCTGTTGCAAACTTCATTTGCATGCACATGGTACTTGAGCTATTCCTAATCCACTTGATTAATGTTGTATTTAACACACCCTACCAGTCCCATTATTTTTAATCACAAGTCATTATCTAAGTAAGCAATATTTTAAGTAATGGAAGGTGCATTGTGGTCTAGCTTGGGTACAGACAACACCATTCAAGGTATGACAAACAAAACAATTGTCTACCCAATCTAAACCATACTGTAGATAATCTACTAGTAGTGTACGCTCTTGTGTATGGACAACATGCAATTATCAAGGTATAGCAAACGAACAAAATTTACTCTAGTGTGTACCCAAGCTAGACCAGAATGCACCATCTGTAACGGCATGACCAAAACCAGAAAAAATAAAATAAGATTTAATAATAATACTACATCGTTATTCATTACCTGTCATTAGCATTTTTAAATGAAAAAACCTTTATCTAACGGTCACCTGTCTATAACGGTCACTTGGCCATTTCCCAAGGGTGACCTTTATAGACGGGTTTGACTGTATTACCTTTTGTTTCTTGTGTTGTGGATGCCGCACTGCTTGTCATTGGTGTTGTTGGTTCTAGGATTTGATTCAATACATGGTTCCAAGGCCAGTCGTCTGCCAATAATGGTGAACAAGTCAAAACATTTAGGTTATAAGGTGGTTGGGTGGGTGTGTGGATGGATAGGTGGATGGATGGGAGGAGCCATGCAAGGATGGATGTATGGATGGGAGGGATGGATGGATGGATGGGATGGATGGATGGGA